AGGGTAATTGATTTTTTAATTTTTATTCCATATCTAATATTTAAATTAATCTCATGAAATTGCTTCCTTTTTTAAAAAACCTTTTCTTCTTTTTCATAACATTTGTTTTACCTTTCTTTTTTATTAAGAAGGTTCCACAGTACAGCAGCCTTGCTTCCTGGGTTTTAATTGCAAGAAACTCATTAATTTTTGTTAGTAAAATTGCAGCTTTTCATAGTGAACAATGTCCTTGAATGTTCAGAAGAGGTTCATGAGTTATTTCTTTATGAGTTTTATTAGTATATATATATTTCTTTATTAGTTATTTCTATGCTACATATTAAGATCACAAACTATGGCCAAAGCATAGAGACTTTGTAATTGCGTTCAGAGAGCTGACTTGTTTTAGGGCATTCAAGGGTCTGTACAATCCCTGTTTGTGATTTACTACATAAAAACATTTTGCATGGTTTTTATTCATCTTCTGTTAACCTTAATCCATTTTTATACCTTTTTTTTCTTAAAAAAATAAGCCAAACATAGCCAGCTTTACTCAGAAAAGAAAAGTGTTTACAGTTTTAATAGCTGGTTAATTCAGTGAGTTTTCAGATTCTTCTCTCCATTACTACTTATCAGTGAAACAATTTAAAATAATTTATTTATTTATGCTAATAAGCATTTCTGTAATTTTTTAATGGAAGCAAAGCAGACTAATTATAAGCAAAGGGATAAAACTAATTCTGAATTCCTGGTTTCTCACTGTGTATGGCAGGAGAGAGACATTCTAATAGACCTGATGTATGAACAAACATAAAATGTTGTGACTTCAGGACTTTAGAGCAATCTTTCCACCTGAAAATTAGCTGAAGATAGTAAGCAGCAGAAGTCTCATAGATGGAGAAGGAGTTTCTTCCAGGTAGAATATGAATGTTTGCTTTTAAAGCCTCTTCTTCCATAGAGCCCACCAACCTGATTGCCTCCTTCTGTAAGTAGTTTTTCCCCCACATTAAAGCAGAAATGAAAAAAAAGCATATCTATTGCAAGACTGCAATGTTATCTGGTCGATTTTCCAACTGGGATGATTTAGGCAAAGGAATCCAGTGATAAAATAGCTAGAACCAAGGTCACTTGGCCTCAAAGTCATTTTGCTTCCCTAGTACAGCTGGACTTTGAGCTGGAAGACTGAGAGCATTTCAGAGTTGATGCCAAGTCTCCGTCTCAGTCAATATGCTAATTTTAATAAAGACTCTTATGCTCCTGTGCTCTGGAAAATGTTATTAAAGGTCATATTCTTGCCAAAGCCCAAATGCTAAACACCTTCACATGCACAAAGTGTAAGATGAAGCATTACTCTGCTTATTCGAGGAGACGGGAATGAACAGTTACATTGAAAAGAGTAATAAGTGTACTGCTATACCAGCATTTTTTTCTCATGTTGGCTCCCCCACTCCCTGAACTTTTCCCTCACCAGTTTTAGAGGAGAGAGAAGGATAGTGATGCTGACTGCTGAGGGATTGCACCTGCTCAATCTCAGCCTTGTCTTGTCCAATAGGATAGCATCTTCGTGTTTGGCTTCTTCCATCTCCTCATTTTCTGGGCCCTCATTAGCTTCTATTTACTTAATCTTACTATTCAGTGAATGGTTTTTACCTTGTCCCACTCATATGCAGATGATGACTGACCCACAGAGAAGATAGCGGCCTTCCAATACCTGAAGGGGGCCTACAAGAAAGCTGGGGAGGGACTTTTCATAATGGCTACTAATGACAAGAAAGGGGAAATGGGTTTAAACTGAAAGAGGGCAGGTTTAGATTAGATATTAGGAAGAAGTTCTTTACTGTAAGGGTGGTCAGACACTGGAACAGGTTGCCCAAGGAAGTTGTTGATGCCCCCTCCCTGGAAGTGTTTAAGACCAGGCTGGATGAGGCTTTGAGCAACCTGATCTAGTGGAGGGTGTCCCTGCTGAAGGCGGGGGGATTGGAACTAGATGATCTTTGAGGTCCCTTCCAATCCAAACCATTCTATGATTCTATGATAAATATCCTGTTCAATGTGATTCAGAAGATCTGGTGACAGAATTCAGCTTGGATTTTCAAATCTAACCTACGAATGTTTGTTCTTACCTGGATGAGTTTAAGGGCAAAACTTGCCTCTAAAAACTGAATTATTGTATTACCTAGATACCTGTTAAAATATTTTCTGAAATGGATAAAATGGACCCTGTATTTTAATTCCTAAAATCATTTAATAGTATCCACAACTTCCCATGTACTCAATTTCACACTACTTGAAAGTATTAGTTTTAGTTTCAAAAGCAAATGTATCCATCCTCAATCTTCTCCAGCACATACATTTGTACACTTGCTTTGCTTGCCAGTTTGCATAAGTTCCAAGGGTGCTACGTTTTGCCCTGCAGCTGGTGTTCAGTGTAATCAGACGTAGTTTCTTTCATCCATGAGACCTCACCTTAGACACTGACCTCCCATGCAAAGCCAGCAAATGTCTCCCGACAGTTTGAGGATACCATATGTCCTGAATACCCTTCATGCAATCCTCAAAGACTTCAGAGAAGTTGAGCACTTCATGAGTATCCTGGTAATTTCTCAAACAAGTTGAAATATTCTGTGCCTTCAACACAACAGTTTAATGTTTACTCCAGAAAACAATTTCACCTTTCTATTTTCTCTGCTGTCTGAGGCACTCTGTCAGTGAAAACAGGGAAAAGGAAAGATTTCCATTCTCATATAGCAACCTCATTCCCCCACAGGCACACTGTGTGATTTCATGTAATATAAAAGGGAGACTGAGAGAACCAGCTGATATGTCGGTCATTGGTATCCTTCTTTCAAAGAGAGGAGGTAAGTAACAGGAAGTAACAGTATGGCAATGCAAAACTGGAGTCTAATATATGACAAAAGCACACCTGCATAGCTCCTAAGCATTTTTGCATGACCACCACAACATATGGATACTGAAATAGGGCATATATATAAAAATATAATTTCATTGTGAAGTTATCTTGTTCTCCACAATTCCCTTCCCAATGCATTAATCGGCCCATGCTCCTATGTAAGACTTTCTGTTTACTTCAGCTGGGGGTTAGGTTAGACCTGTGCCCAACACACTCCTCTGAGGGTTAGGGAAAATTCTTTGCAGTGATCTCAGCAGCACCTCCTAATCTATTTGTGCTATGTGTCAGAAGACTTTTACAAAGCATTAGGAGTTTCACACTTGGGACCTTAGTCATAAAATTAAACTTTTAGGACTAACACCCATTAGTATGATTAATGAGAATTAGAGCCTGGGAGAAGAGGTTGAATGGCTATGAGACTGAGTGAATCAATTGGGGTGTCATTAATAGGACAAAATTAAATTGACTGAAGCAGAATAACATTGGGGATGACAAGTTTACTTATAGCTATGTAGGATAGCAATTCTTACTGCTCACCCAGCAGTTCCCTGCTTCCATTAATTTTTCAGCCAAAGTTTTGCTACTTTATTCACATACCCTCACACACACACTTCTAACATATTTTATATTGGCTCACTTATCTGCAATATGTTCATTGAATTGTCAGAAAAGTATATATATGTTTAAAAAATGGAGACAATGTCTGTGATACTGAATGTCAAACAATAGGAAACTGCATCTCATTTTGACTGTTACAGTAAATTTCTCTCACTTTATTCCTCTTCTGATTACTTGAAATTCCTTCCTAATTTTTATGAGGACAGTCTGAGAAAATTCAGTGCAAATGGTGAAATAAAAAGTTCCACACAAACCTGTCATTAATTTAATAAATAATGAGAGAAAATTCTTTATCAGGTGTCCCTTTAAAGTACATTTTCCCAGTACTGTTTATTGAATGAACATTGCTCATGCTCATAGTTTAAATTGTTCTTACCTTTTTTGTCAACACTCTTTGGTGCAATAACATTAGGAGTTTGCATTTCGATCCTATTTCAAAAATGAAATTGTGAGATGAAGCTGTGAATCAGCTGCAGTCTCCCATATTATGCTATTAAGCCTTAAGATTTCTGTGCTTTTAGAGTTAAAATAGAGGCAAGCACTTCCCTCTGTGCAACCTGAAATTTAATTATTTTTTTATTCTTTGTAGAAACAGCTCATAGAAACATTAGTTATTCTTCAAAGAAAAATGCATTTACTGTGGTTTACATCCTTCCTTCCATATGAGTTAATGTTGTCTTGTATAATCTTGGGGTTTTTTTTCCTTTTTTCCTTTTTTTTTTTTTTTTTTAAGGGTAGTCTTCACATTGCTTATGAAATCACATGCAGTTCAAGCACTTCAGAAAATTGTTAATGACCTTGACCTCCTACTGCAATGAGTGCACTCTGCAGTGGAAGTGCAGCTGATAGCAATTGATGTCATGACCATAATAATATATCGTGTTGAATCAGATCTTTCAAGAAAGCAACAGATAATTAAAAATCTTGTTAACTTCACAAATGAAAATGACTTTGCCAAATAAACAGAAACTGAGCACAAATAATGTAATTATTAACAAGCTTCAGTAAGTAAACCTGGGTTTGCAATGTCAAGAACAGTTTTTCTAAGGGACAATGGTTGTACATACCTGTTTTGACAAGATACCTCTAGTTCTATTCTTTGAGAGACAAGCCTCTATCAGAGTTCAAGTTGTGAATTTTGATTTGCAAAGAGTCATGGACATTAAAGTGAGGATAAAGGACTTCAGTTAAGTTTCTGGGGACATATGTCAAAGAAGACTATGCAGATCACCTGTGAAGGATGTTTCAGTCTGCTGCCTTATTTTTAATGAAAATGAAAAGAAGATTCTCATCTTACACCTTTCATGTACGCTAACAAGGCTTCTTTGACATCAGTGGATCCTCATGTCTGTTCAAGGCTAGAAATTTGGCCCTGATTTCTGAATCATCAGTAATTAAAATACTCAGTAAAACTAAAATCAGTATAAAATCTTGTTTTAACTGGCAATATCTTATTCTTTTTGTTTGGTTTTGTTTTTGTTTTTTTTTCCAGAACGATTCAATGTATATCTTATGCCTACACCAAATTTAGATATCTATGGGGAATGTACAATGCAGATCACACATGAAAACATCTATCTCTGGGACATCCACAATGCCAAGGTCAAGCTGGTCATGTGGCCTCTCAGCTCTTTGAGGAGATATGGACGTGACTCAACATGGTTCACATTTGAGTCTGGAAGGTAAGAGCTAAGGAGAAGCAGCAAGGAGAAGAAATAAGCAGTGATTTTTGAGAACCAGTCTGATAAGTTAGATTAGCCTCTCATTATAAGGAAAGATGGAATACATGGCTTCTCCATAGACTTCCATTTGTTGAATATTACTCTTCAATATATTCAAACCAGTGTTGGAAATAAAAAATAATATATCTTACATTTAAAATGAGCTTAAGCTTCCTCTGACTTTTATTTAACTGCAGTTGAGTTGTTATTCCTAAGGTTTATGAGTCTCACTGTGCTTAAACACTAGTATGGTATAATTTGAGTACTTTTAATGTAGAGGGAATTAATTCTGGATCATGGAAAAGGCTGAATGGAATAACTTCCGTTACGGTAGATATTACTTTTTTTAATGTTCCTGATGACTGATTGCCAGCCTAGAGTATAATTGCAAGCAGGAATACGGAGAACATTGTGAACCCGTAAAAAGGCTAACTTTTTTCTTCTGCCTGCAGTTTTAATCATCGTCACCATTTCCATCCTCAAATCAGTTTTAAATGTCCATGAAGCTCTATTTTGCCTCTCTTTCATATCTTTTTAATGCATTTCATATCTTGCCATTAGGTTCACTGCCTTTTCTGCGTTTCTGCTCAGAAATAACTCTGCATTTATCTCTGTCTTTGGTAATGTTTCATCTTGTATTTTATGGTTCTAGACCTTTCTAAGTTTGTCGTATTCCCTTATGTGGACCCTGAATTTTCTGAAGCAATTTGTGAAATTACATGTGTCTATACTCTTGGATTAGCCACACTGCCTTGTTAAAAATCTTTATATGCATTTCAACATGCACTTATTTATTATCATTATTAAATATTCACAAAAGTACAAACAAAAACATGGATGAAATGGACCCTACAGTCTAAGGAGGTAATGACCAAATTTCCTCTGCAGTTTCTTACAGATAGGAGTTACCACTTAACTCATAACTTTGTATATCCAGACTGCTGTCACCAGAATATTTTAGTGCTCTGCTAGTTTTCTGTGATGAATTCACCATTAAAAATCATGAAGACATAATTACTTTTTTATTTATTTAATATTGTTTTACTAAAAATTAGCAACGACTGCACCATGTTTCAATTTCATTTCAATGATTAAGCTGTGAGCCTCAGTCAAATATGCAATATCAGTAAGAATAATTTGCTATATCATTGCTTCCCCTAGGCCTCAAACTACCTCATGTGAAACTAGTTCTAGCATCATATCTACACAATACCAGACAGCTAATAATACCCACCATATTATTCTGAGGAAAACTGAAGAAGCAAGCAAACAAACAAAGAAACAAAACCCCTAAGATTTTGCTTTATCCCATTCTTTGTGAATATCCCACTTATCTGACTCTTTGGCTAAATTTGCAAGTATGCATTTTATTAAAGAGGAAGGAGTTATTTTTGCATAAAAAGGTAATGATCGAAGACTTCCTAATGGCTGCTTATTCAGAGTAGTGTATCTAGCTGTGAATAGACCTGCTTCTTTTAATTGATTCTGAAGGAAACTATCTTTGGAAATGGGAATCATCATTAACCAAAATTAAGCTGCTAAAACTTAATTCAGATTAATCACTTGAAGTTGATTTCTTATACATGTCTCAAAATGTAGGTCTATCATTCTCTACAGTGTTTTAATTATGAAAAAAGTCATTCCATATCATAGTGAAATTCTGTTTTTTCTAAGATAGTTGCTTTCTGTGCTGCTCTATTTCTATTTATGGCACATTAGTACTAACTATGTATAGTGGTTGCATATATTCAAGGAAAATATGAGTTTTGGCTCTCTGCTTTTTCAAGCCTCCTACAGTATTTTACTTCCATGCTAGTATCTGAATATCATCTTCTCCTACAATCCATGGACCATGCAACCGGATGAAAAGTGGACTGTTTTTTTGTGTTTTACTATTGTGAGCTAGCTCTGCCTTTATCTGTCATGTTTTATTGTCTTCTATCTGATTCCTCCCTTTTGCTTGCTTGGGAGTGCTTTATCTATCTGATTTGGAAATGCATGAAGACTAGATTTAGACTGACAGAAAAACATAGGGGTAAAAAATAGGACTAGAGAAAAATCAGTATCTTCAATAATACCTGAAGACCATATAAGGCAACATTAATGCTCATTTTTAAATATGTTGTTGATTTATTTGGGTTTTTATTTTTAATTTTTTAATGAACAACTTTCTCATCTTTCTGAACATGATTTTCTTTGTCCCTTGATCCGCTAGTACTTTAATACAGTAAATTTATGATTCATCCTGTCTTATCAGAAGCGAAGCGCTCATCCGTGTTTTATGACAATGCAACACAGTAAAAGTGTTGTTGCTTTAAGTTTTCCCTAAGGCTTCAATATTAAATGTAGACAATTGCTTTAAAGGAAATATTTTTAAATATTTCTTATTTAGGTTCTTATTTTTTACAGAGTTTTAGCAGTTATGCAGTATATGTGTATGTGGTTTGCACGAACATTAAGAGCTCAGTTTTATATAGTTATCCACCCTCAGTTTTAGTATTACTTTGTTTCAGAAAATAAATCTCTCCCATTAAAATAAATGGGCATATCCACTAAGAGATAGTGTGGTAAATACATTTATCAAAATTAAGCTTTCAGACAATTAACTTTATCTTTTATTAAATATATTTATATATTCATTTAAACAGAATATGGACTCAAATGTATAAAACTAAACTGTTCACTTGTCTAATGAAATGTAATAGCTACACAATCTTGATGATGTCTAAAATATGGGAGGAATGAACACAGATTCTTTTAAACTGCCAGATTTTTCTGTTTAGTTTTGCACTGTATTAGAGTTTGTAAATATGTATCTTTGCATTACCTATGAACTGAGACCCATTCTTATTTTTCATTGTTTAGTGAACAATGAAAGTAAATATTTCTTGCACAGTGATTTAATTTATGTTCTTCCCTATCCAAACTATGCTGAGATTTGGAGGAAGCATAGTTTTGTGTTGCTTAGTTCAATGCTGGATGGAGAGATTATCATTATTTAAAGTATTTGATTAGGGCTAATCCCATGCAACCTATCCATCGATCAGAAAATAGTAATTCACAACTCCATTAGGCACAACAATAGCTTTGTAGTGATTAATACTGTGCATCTAACACAGTTAATGGATCCCACAGTAATTCAGAGCATCTGAGGTAGGAGCTTAGCATTTACTTTTTCAAGAGCCAGACTTTCCACCTGACTAGCTGCAGATTGGCTTGGGGAGTTTTAATGTTGAATCATCAATGAGTCAACAGGATTGCCTTAATTTATGGGCATGCGTAATGTGTTTCAACACCTCATTCTCATTATTTTGGATGCTAGATATGTTGGAGACACTGTGCATAAGAATGCAGTTGACCTGCACGAGTGCACTTACTTCTCCTCAAACTTTTGAAACTGCTACTCCAGGTATGTGGGCAATAGTCCCTGACTCTCTCTGATTTTAAGCCCATGAAATAAAAAGTATGCTTCTTGTGGAACTACCTGCCTAACTGTCCAGGTGAAGGTGCTATAAATTTGCACTGGCTTAATTAACTATATGCAATCTAAGAAACATGCCAGAAAAGTAATAAAACAGATACACATGAAATATCTCATGGCCTGGATCAGGTGTGAATACAGTGTTTTCAGACTCCTGCCAAAGTTACAGGATTCTTTTTTGCTGATGTTATAAACCAAACAATCCATAACAAAGGCCATAAGCAATGTTTAAAATTCACTCTCTGGAAACTGCAAAAGGCAGTTGTCCAGGCTTTCCTTTTAGCAAAACAAGGCGGCTGAGGCACCTCTGAGGAACCTAAGAGAAGACTCCTAAGAATTCAGAATTGGTTTTCATGTCTTGTGGTGACACATTGAGAAAATTCAACACATATGGACTCTGTTCCTTTTGAAATGTTCTTTCTTTTGCTTTGCTGCAATGCATTTACATTAAACGTTATTTTCTATGTATGGAAGCTGTCTGCTCAGTCACTTCTGGCCAGAAATATCCAAAAAAAACCCCCCCAAAAACAAAAAGCCAAAGTCAAGCTAAGCATAGGATGGGCTGTAGAAGCCCCAGACAATCTTTCTCAAATACCTTAAGCTTCCAGCTGAATAGAGGTGGAGGCAGTAGGTGTTCTTGGAATTTTGAGAACAGAAGGATCCATAAATCCATGACAGACTTCTTTTTCTGAATATATTTTCTTCTATTTTGTAGATAAGACATTGAAATTTAAATTATTTCAAGTATTTCTAAGTTTATTCACACTGTTCATTCAGAGAGACCCATTGAACCACACTAAACTATTCCTTTTTTACTGCATCAAAGAAAATCTGGTGAAATGTGGTATTCTTTGTCACTTCTAAGATCTGGAATCTGTTTCTTTGGTTAAGAAAAATATTAAGTTCAAGCACTGCAGAGTGGTGACATAAGAATTTCTCAGATATTTTTCCCCTTTATGCAACCAAGGCTGACATACTCATTTTCTCAGTGGTAGATACACAGATGCTCGGGTTATCTGAAGCAGAAAGTTCAGTGTTTGCTTCAGGCACTACATCTGACTGAAATCTTTCATTTGTCTGTCAGTCCTCTGTGGCAATTTTTGTTGTTAATGTGAAATGTATTAGTCAGTTAACCCTTAAAGTTAAGTTACAGGAAACATTCTCTTTTTCCTGTGTGTGGTGGGAGGCCCCTTTAGACAGTTGTTCTGGGACTTTGTATACTGATGTACATATCAACTCAGGCCTATACGTTCCTGTAGACAAGTATTCAATTTGTGATTACTGGTGGATTATCTATGTTGTGGATTAAGTTTATCATAGGTTTATCATAGAATTATAAATAATTATAAATGATCATTATAAATCATAAGCTCATCATTATAAATCATAAGCTTGTCATAGAATTTGTAAGTCACCAAAGTCATCATTTCCCATAAACATTATCTCAGAGCTCTCAGTATCCCACATTTAATAGTTAAGT